GTAAGTAATATGTTTTGGTTGTGTAAATACTTTTTTCAGGTCTGTTCTACATCAATATATTCTAACACATTAGTGCCGAAGAAGTTTTTCTAACTTGCTCTATCTCTTGCCACTGTGTGAAATTTAAAATTGTAAAATTATAATCCCAGTAAAGTTTTTTAGTACATTTAGTTTTTAAATTTGCTATCTTAACAGTGGCATATTTATTGAATAAAAACCCTTAATGTGTGAAATCAATATATGGGATATAAGAGAGAGAGAGAATACGACTTTCCATGTTACAATTTTCGTATTTGATTTGTATAATCTCTAGAACCTCCTAAATAAATATCAAAAGTTTTTTGGTAAAACTTTATCTCTACCCCAAAATCAGCTTGATTATATATTACTGAAGTGGCATCAGTTTAACAAATTGGTAGAACTACCACAAACCTTTTTGGTTCTAAGTCAACCTCAATATATCCCCTCTAGTGGCTCAGCAGTAAGTTTGAGGGCTTACAGTGGTAGAACTCTTGCTTTTATGTAGAGAAACATTCTACTGGTAGATGATCCTAATAGGCAGAAGTTTTAATCCGACAGGGATTATTACCAAAAGCATCTGTTTGATTTGAAGCAAAAACACATAATGGCTTTTAAACATAAAAGAAAGACAGTATCATATTATTTTGGCCCAATCCAAATGTATTGCAATGGTTTGTCTAATAAAAGCTGTATCATTAATTCTGTTGCCTTTGAACTTTTTTTTTTTAGATTTTTGTCATAAGGATTGAGGTTTATGGTTGATACATTTCTCTAAAATAAACTTTTGCTTCAGGGTGTAGGTGATCTTGACAATTCAAAAGGTTTAATTTTAAGTGAACTTCAGCATTAAAGCTTACAATGTTCCCAAAATGTTAGTACATAGTATTAGAACATACCTGACAGCTAGAACTAGAAACTGAAGTTGGTTGTAATTTTTCGTTTGTTTTTCTTAGAAGTTTGGCATCACCCGCAACTACTATAAAGCCATCTGTCACAGGACAACCTACAGCAGTTGTCACTAGAGTGAAAAAAAACCTAACATCATCTAATCATACACAGGTACCTTTAGTCTCAACATCGGGATCACCTGGAACTACGGGAGTGACTACAGCCAGCATTGTTAAAGTTAGTATTTCAAGGAAAACATGCTGTCACTTATTTAAAAATATGTAGAAATTATTGTGAAATTAAGTTCTTATTGTGTTTTGTATTACTTTTGGAACCTTCAAAAAATTATTTAGATGAAAGTAAGACCTGTGAAGATTTAAAGATAGAATATGGTAAAAAAATGAAAATACCGACATCGGTCGTGGTGTAGCAGCACATCTAAAATATCAGTTATGTGTGTCTGTAAAAAGTGAAGAAATATTTTTCTAAATTGTTGATTCTTTAAGCAACTCCACTTAAAAACTAGTTTCATAAGAGTGTCACATAAAAGAATAATACACGTATATAAATAATGTAAAGAGCAGAGTGTAAATGATCACTATTTTTGCAAAACTACTGAAAACATGTATTTTGTATTTGTGGCAAAGCTAATAAGGCTATTTGCTGCCAACCCTAATTTTCAACTATTGACTAGAAGGAAGGCAGCCAATCAGCATCACCATACTACCTACTTTTCACACTAAGGTATTGACTGTCATTTTTATGATCCACCAACACAGACCCCAATGAAGTCTTTTTTTAATTATTCAAGTTATACTGTCGAAACATGTAGAGTTGTCAACTTTTTGAAGGCCATAGATATGCCTAAATAAAATGTTTTTAATTGTGTACCAGTTTAATGTTGAATATTATTTATGATTTTAGCTTTATACACAAGTGCCAGAATACTATAATTATTTATATAGCATTTTATTACTGACAATCACAAGCTTGTACACGGAGCAAAATAACTTCACTAACCTCCTGAGCTTTGAGAGTGGTGTTTGTAAAATTACTTATTACAAGTTTTGGTTAGTAGGCATTCTTATGATGTAATTTTGATTGGATTTAATCTTTAATTATCAGTATTTCCTTCAGTGTAATTAATTGTTTCTCTAGTGCAATATATTTAAAAATGTTAAACCTAAAAAAAAAACTGAACTTTCTTGGTAGAAAGTAGGAAGTTTGGATTATTTGCTGTTAGCAGTTACAGTGAGAGTCAGTTTATCTTCATTTGTAGATTCCTCCTTTTAAGAAGCTAACCAATTTCATTATGTTCCTAGATAGCAGTAAGCTTTTTCTCCTGATAAAAAGAATAAAAAATTAGTTTTAGACTTGTTAAAAAATTGTATTTTTGATAAATTTCCATAAGCATTTTATGCATATTGCAACAGTGAGCAAAAAAGTGGAAATTGGTCTTCAGAAATTGTTTCATTTACAGTTTTTCTTTATTGTTTATTTATTTAAGGAGGCTAAAAAAAAGTATTTCATTCACTTTTCATCCGTAAGAATGTGTGTTTCCTTCTTTTTTTTTTTTCTCCATATTTTGGACTGAACTATAACTCTTAACAACTGTAAACCATAGCTTTTCCAATTCCTTATGTTTGCCCTCTCCAAACGTAAACTTTAGCTCTATCCATTCCTTATAGGGCTGGGAGTAGCCATGTGATTAGTGTGAATCCATGCATCCTTAAGAGGAACGTGGAAGAAAAAACATCAGTAGTTTATACGATTTTTATTTCAAAACCATTCCTTGTGCTTGATGTTAGAGAACATAAACCATAGTTTTATCCATTTCTTATCTTTACTCTTAGCAACAGTAAGTCATAATTTGTACATTTCTTATAGTTGTTTCTTGATAAGTAAATTGTGTATACATTACTTCATTAACTAAAAGTTTAAACTCTAGTAGTCCAATTTCGGTTCTTGAGAAAGGTCAATGTATAAAATAAAATCTAATAATTCCAGCCAACTACTTCTTCAACTGCTGCACCGGTTTTCCAATTGGTTTTGAAGTTTCCCGATGGTCATTCAATGCCAGTTCAAATTCCTGTAGTTCCAGTAGCACCAGCTCCAAGTACTACTACCACCCAGCCACTCTCCTATGGAACAGTGGTATCATCTCCTAAAGTCTCTTCATCTTTGATTGAACAGAACAATTCCACAACTAAACTTGTGAGTACTTTTTCTGTTTTATATAATTTATAAATGAAATTAAACAACAACAAAGTACACGGCTTTAAAATACAATTTTTCTTATGCGGCTAGTGCTGTTATAGAGATTATGATATACATGCATGGTGTAGTTTAGAAATGTTATGTACATTTTATGAAAGTTAAACTTGTGAAACATTAAAGTAAATATGTAATTGATAATACATAGTTATAAATTTTGACAGAATAATACAATACTTAGCCAAGAAGTTTGTGACATATATATACACACACACACACAAAGAATACTTATGTCTTGAATTTATTCTGATGTAAGGCACAACAATATTAGTTATTACAAAATGTCAAGGTTTTATATATGGGCTTGGATTCTTTACAGTAGGTGTCTGTGACTTGTTGGTGATAAATTCGAACAATAAACAGACAGCACACAATCCACTTGTTTTAAAATAAATATATTCAAAACAAGTCAAACTTATGTACAAAAATTCTTTATACTGTAGGATATCACAGTTTTATCTAAAACTCTAAATAATTCTCTTTTCTTGTCAAAAATCCACATAAGCTGATTCAATTACTTTAGAATCCAATTGCCAAGATGAATTATTTTCTTCTAATCTGTTTCTTACTATACAATCTGTAATAAATTAACTTGCATTACCCCATGGGTTAACACAGTTACATCCAGAACTTTAAAGTAATTGTCTCATTTTCGTAAAAGTCCACACAGACGGGTTCAATTACTTTAGAATACACTTTGACAAGACAAAATATTCTCCTTATCTCTGTTAAACTGTGAAACTCTCTTTAAAATATTGCCCATAATGGTTAAACTAACAATCACACAGTTTAACTTCACTTTCACTAACTTAACATTTTCTGACCTTACTTCACATAACTTGTTGGTTACCACAGTTTTATTCAGAGCCTTAAATTGTCTCTTTTTTTTTTTTACACATCAGCTAACTTCATATATTCTTTCACTAAGTAACTTCTGCTGACTTGTGCTCACTTGATCACCTATATATATTTGTGTGTGTGTATGTGTATACAGAAACACACACACACACATTGTACAATGGAGGTCTAGCACTTTTTTTACCACGAGACACTATGATGTAACAATACTCACTTGAGGCAACAAGAAAAATACTGAAGACTCGAGTAACATGATGTCAACAATACATCAAAAGCCTAGTACAAAAATTAAATTGCATACACATTGCACGACTCATACAGGGTTAGTAACGAATTTTTTTATAAATATTGCCTTTAAAATAATTAAAATAAATATTGTTATTTAATAACATTTAAATCGAAAAAAAATTGTTACGGTCATAGTATATCATTATGTATGTATTATAGACACATATGTACTCACATGAGATACTGTTATTTAATTTAGAAACTGAAACAATCCATTATGCAAGGCCAAAATGCTGCCACTATAAGTTCCAGGGGGAAGAACCCCTCAGAAAACACTAGACTTCAACCTGTAGTTTTGGCAACACCTATAAACAATGAAGCAGTCATGCAGGAACAGGTTAATCACAAACCAGGGTAAGTCACAAAAAAAAAAGAAAAATTAAAATCAATACAACCTTAACCCTTTTTTTATTATTTAAGATTGAACCATAGATGAAGTTAAGTGTGTTTTCTTAGCTCGTAGGATTCTTTTTCTAGGTGATTAACTCCACTTTAAAGGAGAGTATTAAAAACTGAGTGTAATTTTTGCTGTTCATAGTTATCAACTCTCAGCATTTGACAAACGTGTGTTTCACAAAATGGAGTTACTTTTCCCAAACTATCCTCTTTTTATTATTAGCGTGGTAAGAGGTGAGGTGTAGTAAGATCAGTGCTTTTTTATTAAGTATTAATAAAGAAATTGCAAAAATGTTCTATATATATATACACACACACAAATGCACATTATTTCTGTATTTCATTGAATATTCCTATATAGATAGATACACAAACATATTTATATGTAAAAATTAAAGGTAAACATTATGGCCACCTACTGGTAATCTATTTTTATTTCTGTGATTGTTATAAAGTGAACACAACAACATTTGTAAATTAACCTACATATACAGTAACCAGAAAACAATTATTTGTATTGAACTTTTGTATAAAATTAAAAAGTTTGTAAATTCTTATTTTACGTCATGAAAAATACCTTTAAAATTCCATTTTAGTATTTTTTTTTTTTTATTAATTTTCTTATTGTTTTGACTTTCAGTTTCTGGTAAATATGAGTAATTCTTATATTTGTTAACCAACAATCACTTGATACTCTGATGCTCTTTTAGTCATCAGATCAAAGGTGGATTGTGTGAAAAGGGTCTTCAATGTATGTTTATAATTTGGTTTGTCAGTTTAAAATATCAGAATGGAATGTATTGTTAGTTTGTGTATACGGTGTTAAGTAGCCAAAATACACCATTAGGAAGAGCCAGTAGAAACAAACAGGATAACAGGTTTCAATGTCTCATTCAAGTTTACATTTAAAAAACAAACCTTTTATATAGTAGAAAGCTTTGTTTTAACTGTGATGTTCACAATGGTATTTCAGTATCTCACAGTTTATAAAATCTTATACAGTAGAGACAGATCTTTGTTTTAATTATAATGTTCAGAAGGGAATTTCAATTTCTATTTCACAATCTATAAGAATTTTTTTTTCTTCAGTTGAAAGGCATCTGTTTACATTGCACAGAAGAGAGAATTTTTTTGACCAATACATTTGAGAAACATATTTCAGTGTAAAAAAAACATTGAATCAGTGTGAATAAGATTAAATAGTTTTTAGTTATTACATTCTAACAAATAATCCCTCAACCTTTGCTAGAAGGAAGCGCAGAGAGTTTGATGAAGATCCAGATGAAAAACGAAGAAAGTTTTTGGAACGAAACAGGTCTTTGATTGCTCTTGATACATTGAATAACTAAATGTTATTTATCTTTGGAATAGATAATTGTTTTAATTGATTATACTCTCAAGATGTAAGCCACCTGGTTTTGAAAATGGACATGACAATTTTTAATTGCAGCTAAATAGTATTTACACTACTTATTATAATAGGTAGGTAAACAACAATTTATAAGCACAAAGAAAAGTTTTATTGATGGTGGAACATACTACCTTTTTTCTTGTTCAGAAGAAGACAGACCAATGTTCTGTCGAAACATGTATGTTCCACCATCAATAAATCTTTTCCTTATGCTTATACATTGTTGTTTCCCTACCTATTATTATATCACCGTAATGTGTTTCCTTACTCAAGTACACTATTTATTGTTATTACTCTTATGTATTGTGCGTATTCTGTATTATTTGTACTTGCATAAAATCTCATTCTTCTTCCGTAGCTTTTTCCCGTATCTATACGGGGTTGCTATTTCCGGTTTTGGCAGGGTTTTTACGGCCGGATGCCCTTCCTGACGCCAACCATCCCCTAATTTAGCAGTGTAAGACTAGAGGGAAGACTGCTAGTCATCACCACCCACTGCCAACTCTTGGGCTACTCTCTTACCAACGAATAGTGGGATTGACCGTCACATTATAACGCCCCCACGGCTAAAAGGGCGAGCATGTTTGGTGGGATGGGAGCGCAAACCCGCAACCCACAGATTGTGAGTCGAGCAGCTTACCCACCTGGCCATGCCGGCTCTTTTGCATAAAATCTCATTCAGTAATAGAATACTTTTTCTCTTCATCTGCCATAATGTAATTTGACCACTTAGTATTGTTGCATTCAGTTATGGCTATTCTGTTGGTGTTGTATCATAAAATAATATATTTTTAAAAATAATATAAGTGTTTTTTTTGGGACTTGCTATTCTAGTATAAAAATATTAAGCCCTATTATACTTGCCCTAAGCCTTAACTCGTAATAAAAAACATTCTTCTGAGATTCATTTTTGTATACTTTTAAACACAAACAGTTACTAGAAATAAAGAAAATAGTATTTGTTTTATTGTGTACCTAAAATTGAATGTATATAACTTGTAAATTTGTCTCATGTTTTTGTTGTAAAATGGCTTGCGTCTTCGTATTTGTCCATAACAACAACAAAAATGAGTTTCAAAGTTCCTAGCCCCCTTACTTTATTAATTTTCACGAGTTGGACAGCCATCTCTATTTTTACCCCTTACTTTTTGGCTTGTATTCTTACTTTCCAAACACCTATTGTCGTAAGAGCCGAGTGGTTAGAATGCTGGACTGTGAATCAGAGTGATAGGGAAGGGTCAGGGTTCGTGAACTATTCACTTTATTCAATTACTTATTATAATGAATCTGGTGGCCCTTTCTGTTTTCCCATTTGCTTCTGTCATGGTGCCTTTTTTGTTCTATGATTGTGAACTACTTTTCTGCAGGAAATTCAAAACACTACAGAATAAGGAAATATATTTAAAAAATTGGTATTTCTTGGGAAATTCTGTTCATTTAAAAGAGAAACAAATGTTTTGCAGCTCTCAAAGCCAATGGAATAAATGCCATTTGTGGCATGGGGAGTACCTTTGCTAATTTTCTTTAAAAACTAAATTCATTACAGAACAAAATAAAGTTTTATGTGGCACCATGTTTTCTACATGTATAGTAAGGTTTTAGAGGTTACCAACATATTAAACTTGAAATGTAATCCATCCAGAATTCTTATTAAATGTTTAATATCACCTATTATTACTAATGTTTCTTGAATGTCAGTTATTAGTTAATTATCGGTAAGTATAGAACACCATGGATAATCTGAGAAGGATAGAATTCCATAAAAAGAATGAAAGTAAAGTTCATTCTAGAATAAAAATTGTACCATGGCTAATACTTCACTTGTGTATCAGTATGATCACCTAGTGTGTTTTTTAGGTTTAGGTTTTGTTTTTTGTGGTGATGAAATTACAACATGCAGATGTTGATTGTTAATTTCATTTCCAAGTATATTGATTAACAGAGCTGCTGCAACTAGATGTCGAATGAAGAGGAAACAGTGGGTTCAAGACCTAGAGAAAAAATCGAAAGAACTATCTAGTACTAATTCTGCACTTCAGGTATCACTCTCTCTCTCTCTCTCTGGATATATAGAAAGATAGATAGATATGCACATGCTTGTGTGTATCAGAAAGCAGAAAGTCAGTTGTTTGTAGTTCAGCCGTTTTTTCTCAAAGTTTAGGATGTTTACAGCACACGACAGTATCTCTTATCCCTACCACGTACTAGAAAAGAAACATTTTTTGATAAAAGCATTATGTATAATTTAAAGTGCAGCAGAAACACAAAATGCAGTGTTTACCTTCAGAAATAGTGCTAAAATAGGAAAAAAATTCATATACACTGACTTTATTTGTGTACGTTTTTGATTGTGACAATTTGGTTTTGAGAAGAAATAACTGAATTTGATCCTTTTTTTTTTTCTCAGATTTACATAGGCATCCTCACCTATGTTTGTTTGCAATATGCAGTTGCTGAAAGTTTTACTTAAACTATCCATTATTCATTCAAATCATCGGCTTTGTTTTTGACTTAGGAGTTGTTTTTTGTTTTTTTTAAACAAATCACTATTATAATTTGTAAAATTTTACTGAGATTTTTTAGCACTTTATATCTCTATATAAAAGATACTGTTGTGTGCTGTAAACATCCTACACTTTGAGAAAAAATGGCTGAACTACAAACAACTAACTTTCTGATATACACGCACTGAGATTTTACTGAGATTTTTGTAAGTTTGTGCAAGTTAAGTAAATTATGTATTTGTATAACTTTTGATTTACTGTTTAAGTTTGCTCATGAAAATGAAAAGAATTTGTGTGGGAGTTTATGCATTTGTTTCAAATTAAAAAGTTACTCAGGTTGTAGGAAAGTAATGCATATCTTTCTAGAATGAAGTGGCTACGTTAAGGAATGAAGTAGCCAGGCTAAAGACTATGTTACTAGATCATAAAGACTGTCCTGTGACTTTACAACAGCAGGCAGCTAGCAACACAGAAAGTGAGTATATGATTATATTAAAATGGTTTGTAAAAATTACACGTAAAAGACCTTAACAAATCAGATTTGTCGTTTATACAGCGTTACTCTACCTAAGTTTACCAAAAATTTAAGTTTAACCCTTACATATTTGGTGTGCACGTTTCAGATTGTTTTTTTTTTTTAAAGTGGAATGCTATTGATTTTTAACTTTTTACTCGTTATAAATTTGTTTGGAACAAAGAAGTAAGAGAAAGATGAGAGCTTCCAAATAATATATGTAACCTCTACAAAAAAAAAATCCTAAATGTGAACGAAGAAAATTTTGTAACCCTAGCATTATAATTTTTGTATGAGCTCATGAGCTCCTGATTTCCGAAATCTGAAAAATTTATAATAATCATACATTATAAATGAATCATGATCACGTACCATTTTCAATGATTCATCTCTGATTAACTATGTGGCCTGTGTTTCAAGATATTTAAATTAGGCACACAAGTTTTAGTGTACCAAGTTTTGAAATAAAATCTGACCCCCCTTGACTTTAGACTCGTTTGTCATAAAGAAAGATGAACATGATACTTGTTAATGTACATGCTTTTAGGTGTTTCTGTAAGATTAACATACACTGGAGGGAAAAAACTAGTCTGTTAACTCAGCTAAGTCAAGCATGTATGACAGTTGTATCACTTGTAAAAAGAAATGTATAGCATCATCTTTGCCACTAGTATTGCTCAGTATTGTTAAATCTATAGTTTCTTCAGAAATATCCAGTTGTAACATCAACCATTTAGGTAACGATTTACTTCTTCTACTGACGCAGTACGTGACAACATATTTTCACAAAGTCGTCAAAATGTTGCCTAAATGGTTAGTAATAAACAATGTGTAATGCCAACCAATGAATTTTCACAAAATCATAGTGTAATTATCTATGAAGAATATTTAAAAACCCGGTATTGAATATTGAATTTTTCTGCAGTTTGCTATATACTATTCTGGCTATTTATTTAATGCATAACATTTGGGAAAGTTTTTTTTATTTCCTAAAAAATTGATTTTTTTTTTCTGTCCTGCCTTTTTTTTCTGAAATTTTAAAACAGTAATATGAAGAGTCGATACTTTTTTTTTTACTTTTAGCTTAAGAGTTGCTTGGATATTTAGTTTATAAGTTTGCCAGAAAGCATGTCTAAACTTTGCATACTTACAGGGGCTTTAACAAAAGAGTCAGCTCCCTGTCCTCCACTCCCAGTGACCACCTTTCTTCCAGTTACAGAATCAATCATTGTAGAACCAATTATCACCAATGTGGGTCATCCCGATATGGTTGTGTGCACTACTGAACAAGAAGACATGACTTTGGAAGTAATTAAAGTGCAAAACTCTTCTCTTCATTGCATTCATGACAGCAGTACTTCTGCCAGTAATGGAGACTAATGCACATATTTGTTTTTGTTTTTTGTACAGTATATAAATGTATTTCTGAGGTTAAGACACCATACGTGTAAGTAATCAGTTTTCATTTCTTTGTGGAATTTATAAAACTTTCTAACTCTTTTGGGACTACAAACTGTGATAAGTCTCAAATTATAGTCTTCACTATTGTGTGTATATTGAATGATTTATTATTTAGAGAAAAAAAATGTATTGTTCCATGGCTTTTTAAGTTTTCCGTGAAGCTTTAAAAAAATATTAGCGAATTAGTCTGTATGTAATAGAATTATGTTTATCTCAAACTGCATTACCCTGCTATTAGAAATACTTAACTGGACCGGGCATGGCCAAACTTTTAGCATGCCAGCTATGCGTCTGAAAGTCCAAAGAGATTGGAGCCATGAACACGCTTCTCACTTTCGGTTTGGGGGAGTGTTATGACTATTATAGTTAAGCCTGCTATTTGGTCAATAGTAACTGCGAAGGTTGTGGGTATTGCTAATTGGATGCTTTCCCTCTGATCGGCAGTCTTAACTTGGGTATGGCTATGCTTAAATCTTCGGGATTACTGAGCATACATTGCTGTTCAGGTTGAGAATACCAAATACCACCACCAACAACAAGTTAACTAGAGAAAAAGTTGTCATTTTTTCAATAAAACCAAAATGTTGGAGTTTGTAATCTGAACATTTTAAATGAAATTCATCTTGAACATCTGTAAGTAATTTTTTTTCAATATGTCTGTTTTCTTTTTTAAATTTCAGATAAAAATGCAGTATCTAAAAATATCAATTTTTTTCTTACTGTCTACAACTTAATTTTTTTTTTCAGTCTACACATCATAATACTAATTTATTCTTATTTTCAATTCATAACTCAGTGTACTGATGTGAGATAAGAAAATCATTAACCATAATACTGATTTTACCCTTGCCATTGTAGAATACTCACATGCAAAAAATCAAAGATAAAAATTTTATGAAACCTAACCACATTATGTTAATGTTTTAGAATATACATAAAACTGTTTAAGGTTTAAGACTCTTATTGTGAATCACTAAGATATTAATGGAGCTTTGTCGTGGTTGCAGTACAAATCCATCATCATCCTCATTTGTTCTAATGAACAATTTTTAATAATGATAATAATCCATAAACATTGTGAAACATACTCCATATTTTATTCTTAGGCTTTTATAACATGTAAAATAAGTTGAAATTATCACAGTGATTAATAGCAATGCCACTTACTAAATAATTAGCAGAACATTTTATTTTAAATTATGTAAAAAATATGTTTGTTGTATTTTGACATTCTTCTCTCAGTGACTACTTATCTTCATTTGACCTTCTAAACTCCCCATATTTTCGTTCTTTTCCACTAATTTTTCAGACTCCCCAAGTTTTTGTAAAAAATCTTTACTTTTCCTATTTTGGGGTAAAAACAAATGGTCTGTGTCACCTTTTAAGGTCAATTGTTTGTAGCAGAAACCATTTTACTGACAACCTGACTGATTCGGATGTTTCTGCAGTTTATGGTTTTGTGAGACTTTAGTATGTGTATCAAACATGTAAAGACATAATAGGCTTGAACTGCTAGTTGAGTATGTCACTAATTACTAAATAATTATTAGTAGTTTATGCCGTATTTTTCCTTGAAGTGTCATTCAAAGCTGATTTGTGTCATTTGGTTGTGAGACATCATCAGCCACATCTCTTTCTGTCCAAAGTTATCCACAGTTTCTTTAAAACAGACATCTTGCATCTCATATCTTTCTTAACATATGATTTTCATCATTACCTGTCTATTAATAACTTCTGATTAAGCCTGTGCAATGTAACAAACTGAGTAAAGTACGTAATGTCATAAAGTAGTACACCCAAAAATGGTTAAAATCATTTATTGAATCATTGGTGGGAGGTATCCTCATTTCTAATAATAATTTAAACTATAATTCCAGTGATATATCTCATGAGGTTTGTCAGTAGGCATTTCAGGTTAGTCCCAAATCCATATGCAAAACTAAAAATTCTAAACAATTTTCAACATTGTAACCAACTAATGAAGCCAACTTTGAAGAAAACTATAATGTCATTACTTACTACATCAACTTTTAAATTTATAAGAAAATTAATGAAATTTAGTCAATTTTCACAGTTACAATAATCAAAGCTAAAATAATTTTTAAAGTTTATCTTACTGTCAGATTTAGTACTTGTAATCTAGTTCAAACCTTGAGATGTACCAATTACTGTGATGCAGCAGTAACCATGACATCACGCAATGCTTTCCCTAAGAAAAGTTTAAATGAATGAAAGTATTAGGTCAACATGCAACTCAAAGCTTTCAGAGTAATGGCATATTGATCATGAGAATTCAATCTGTAACCGATGAACTCAGCCAGATATAGTGTATATAATGCAAATAGGCCTCTCTGTAAAACCTTTAAAAAAAACTAGACTTGAAAGTAGACCTACAGTTTTAACCAAAAACATTGTTGCAAAATTGTCGATGCTGTGTAGTCATGATATTACCATAATTATCTAATATAGTTCTGTGGAAATATAATGATTTTTACAGAATTTTTTGAGAGGTGGGGGGGGGGGAGTTCAGATTTCTTTATCAGCATTATCAGAACTTGCATAGTAAAATTTCTGTTATCACATACACAAAGTAATAAATTTCTTGATGGAAGTTATACAGAAGGATATAGAAATTTGGATTTACTATTAGTGAAATATAAGTTACTTTTATATATTTAAATATATTTTGGTTTGTACAACCATTACTTGCTCTTTGTTTTTAGAAGAAGGAACCTTAAAAAAACTTATTTTTTGCAGTGACCCATTGGGAGGCCTGCTCTTTAGCTTTGTGTTGGAATATATTAAAATCCAACAACTGGTTGAATTACCTAACAATTGGGACAAATGTTTCTGACTCAATTTCTTTTTTTTTTCTGCAAAAATAAACATTTAAAGTGTTTTGTTTTTATCATGATAAATAACTATTATGAATTTTAATCTTACAGTAATATACCACATAATGTATAATTTTGTTTTTTGAGATAATGGCTTGATGTTGTCAGCTATGGTAGGCAATGCTGGTGTGTAAGAATTGGGATGTCATAATTAATCTTTACCTTATGTTAGCAAAGGAGGATTTTTTAATCTATATAAAAAAAAACCTATAATATATATGATGTATTGTGAAAACTAAAGTAATGCTTTTTAACTTGAATTTTAAAAATTAACAGTTTTTTTTTACATATTGTTTTGGGTAGTGCTGTTCCATTGATAGTGATAGAAATCTGCCCCACCCCACCTCCCAGGTAGATTGGCACAATATTTTAAATTGGTACTGTGTATGCCTTCCTGTATTTAACATCCTAACCAGTAATTTCAAATGGTAAAATCAAGGTAAGATGTTCATTTTCTTATGCAGTTGTTAGGTTGAACTTACGTGGGAACACAAAGCCAAGCTCTATGTGTTTAGTAAACAGCAGATGACATTAAGACAGACTTTTGCTGACCCGTTAATAAAAAGATTGTATATTTTATTCGGTGCTACCATAGCATGGTACAATATAGTGTAAAAGTCCCAGTAGACCAGTCTACAGAGACTTTTACACTTACTTAAATAGACAAGTCAGGTCAGGTGGGGTCTTCTATGATCCCTCTGGGGTAGGGGTAATAGGGTCAGGTGGGTCTTGGTAGACTATGGATACTGTGGTAGACTGCTATAGTAATACCTTTTATTCTTCATTGAACTGGAAAAGGGTTGTAATCAGTGGTTTAAAAAAATTATTTAACTTATTAGCTGATAGTGTTACATGATTAGTAAATAAAAAAAAATAATTGCACTAACTTGTCAGTGATATTCATAGTTTTCTTAAACTATTCAAAATTAGATATCTTTAAACAGTTTATTTTCAGTTCTTAAAAGTGCTTTAAATCAGAAAATTAAGCCCAAGAAATGTGCTTGAAATGTGGATCTGAAAACCAGTGCTACTTCTACTTGAAATGGTTGTCAGTAAATTAAAAGAAATAAACTGGTTTAACCATTTTTGTCTCATGATAAAAGTTTCATTAAGGCATCAAGCTTGTAACATGATTTTTAAAAGTTAAAATGTTAACCTTTCATATTGTTTGCAAGTGATGAAAACCTCATTTTCTTCGTCTGAGGCATTTAGTTTAAGAGAGGGGTAGTTTGTTGAGAACAGAAAAAAAAACCGCATGAAAATAAGCTTGTTAAAAATTTAAATTTGATTCTTTAGAGACTAATGAGTTGTATTTGATCTTTTAGAATATAAATAAAACTATTGTAACTTGAGTATGCTCATACTAAGTGTTAATTAATTCTGGTGATTAGCAAAGCATATTGTAAGTAGCACTTCAAGTACAAGGCAGATAATATGTAAAACAAACTAATTTGTTTGTGATTTTCAGCTTTGTTCAACTAAAGATCCATTTAACAGGTATTCCTACTGATGACACGTTTTCCTGATAAACTTAGGTAGAGCAACACCTAGTGTATTATTGTTCTAAATTTTGCCATTATTACAAGTTTTATATATTAAAATTCCTCTGGAGCTAATTTGTTTAAGAAGTTCCATTTAGAGAGCAGTATTATAGAAAACCGAAACCTTACACAAGGCACAGACAACAAATGGTTCTGATTTAAACGAAAACTTTCATTCAAAATGAATGGTGATATGTATTTTGTTTTGTTAATGACTGTTGATATATATTTTGGCCTACTGGATTGTATAAAAATAGACCTGAGAATTAACCGTTACACTAGACAAATATCACAAATAAAATGATTCTGCCTTATCTAATAGGCATGACACTCGTCAATTTAATGAACCATCCTATTAATATTCTATGAGCTGAACCTATCACTATGTTAAAAAAAAGGGGAGGGGGGAAGAGATTGAAATTGTTTATAAAAGTTTCACCAAATTATCTAAAGCCAATTCAGGTTAGGTACAATTTTCATCTCAGTTACTCTGAATCTGTTTTCAAAGGTTTTTGTTTTGTTTTGCCTCAGATGTTGGTAAAGTATTTAGATTTTGTGAGGCCTGCTTGTATGGTGCAGTTTTTTTTTATCCATGTTAGCTTTGAATCATTGCTTTCATTATCATGAAGTTGTATGTCATCAAATTGTGATGCTCATTTCTCGTGGAACCCTAATTGTATATAGATCATTCCCTGTTAAGAATTAGACTTTCTAGTTATTAAATGTTTCAAAAGCTGGTATTCTCTGGCAATGCTATACTCAGATTGTAAGTCACAAAAGACATTAAACTATGATAATGTGGTGAAATAACTGACATTTGCTGATTCTTGTGTTGTTAAAAATTTTGTTTTGTCCAAATATGAAAGAATACGAGAGTACTAGTAACATTATGTCCGTAAGCTCATTGAGGCCCGTGCTTGTGTAACTGTATATAGATTCAAATAGTAATACGTGTGTGTGTGTGTGGTTAAAAAACCAAAATCCAAGAACCTATTGATAAAGTTCTTTGTTTAATTTTAGTAAAGCTCATAATGGGAGCAAAAACAAATTACTGTTCTAATTGAAATTAATAAGTATTAATATTTTAATTGGATAAAAGTATCTAGTACATAACTTGTAGCCATATTTATTGTAAATATTATAATGCATTTTTACATTCAAACATATCCACCCCGACCAGTAAAGTTACTTAATTTTAGTCTGCATCAATCCCTTCCTTTGGAAAGATATTAAATGTAATACTTAGAAATAAATGACCTTATAACACCAAAATGTTGTTATTATTTAATTAGACACTCGCCATTTCACTTTGCAGCTTCTTCATGAGCATTCATTAAAACACAAACCGAAACTGACAGTATATAATACATTATATTCGAATCTATAACTTGCAATTGTACAGAATGCTTTTGACATATTAAGTAGCAAAGCTTATTGTTGAAAGATGTCAATGACCCACACATTGAGGTGTAAAAAAAGCTTTGTACGGTACGGGTAACTTTTAACCATTCTCTTGCTGAAACTTTATGTACACCTGTTCAACAATAGGCTTTACTACATAATATGTCAAGAGCACGCTGTACAAATGCACGTTATAGATTCGAATATAATGTATTATGTACTGTCAGTTTTGGTTTGTGTTTTAACGAACGCTCCTTGTAGAAGCTGTAAAGTGAAATGTTGAGTGTCTAATTAAATAAAAACAACATTTTGGTATTGTAAGGTCATATTCCTAGTATTAATATATCTTCTATACACCAATATGAACTACAGAAATTAAATGACGTATTAAATGTACAGAAAAATAATTGACAACATTAAAATAATAATCATCAAAGAGGATTATTTACCTTTCACAAATAGTTTTACAAAAATTAAAACATTTCGTTAACCAAAATACTACATAGAAAGTGAAACAGAAGTACAAAATTTGATGAATCCTAAAAATAAGTTTGGTGAAAATTAGTTTAAAACGTTGAAAGTAAACATAGTTTAATGGAATGTAGATAGTTATTTGGGTTGTTGGTTCATGTCCCATTGCTACAAGATAAAAATTGTACTTTTGGGGGGCATGGGTACACTACAAGGATGGTGCTTAAATCCCACAATTTGGTTAGAGCAATCCCAACTTTTGGTGGTGGATGCTTTGAGTAGGTGCTTTCCCTGTATAATTTCAAAATCCGTTATTACTAGTACACATAGCCTTTGTGAAAGTGCTCCGATATCTGAAACAAACTTATTTACACGTTGGGTTAATGACTTATTTTTCTTAATTACACTTTGCTTCCTCTCTCCTCAGTATTTCCTTGATGAAATAAAATTACTCTTCACACTTAGATACATCTGTAAACGTTTCAGTTAGGAACTGAGAGCTAAATACATGTATACAAATTTAAGTATAACCAGATTCTATGGGCTTCAGTAGAATGTTTTACACTAGTTCCACTTATGTGTCAAAGAAATTTAAAGCTCTAGTTTTTGGTATAGTTTGGTATATATATATACACTTTATTATGACTGTTTTCATTATAAAAAAAAAGTTTAATTGTTTAAGCCAGCTTTTCACCTAGCTAGAAAGCTCTGTTTTGCTTCATCTTTTAAAACCTATCATGATTTTACATCAGGTTTATACTGTCCAATCATGATTTTACGTCAGGTTTAAACTGTCCAATCATGATTAAGTGAAGAATGCAGCATTGATCAGTATCAGGTCTGAGTACAGAGAGTCATCACAGAGTTGAATATACCTTCACTTGGGGTGGCTATTCAGAGCATATTTGGGTTTTCAATTCTGATAAAACGTCACATTAATAACCCTTGTATTTGGTCTTCAGCTGATTATGATACGAGTAGGTGGGTATCTTATTGAATAGGCTCTGAACGTATCCGTGCACGTATATATATTACAAATTTGCATCGTCTTCTGTACCCGTTTTTTTATATTTCAGGTAACTTGTGCTGCGTGGCCTCGTGTATAAAATCAACAGTAGATTTTAATGTGTAGGATAGACGTTAATAATATCGGTTTTGTGTTAAGTCAAACACAGTGGTTATTAATACACATTTCCTTTATCCATTTGCTACATAAATTAGGTTTATTGTTCTCTGAAACTCCAAGAAATGTTCAACATTCTTTCAGCCAAGAAGGACCTTTACTTTGATAAGCTGACCATAGTTCTCAATTTGGAAAGTTATTAAAATTTTCAGAGGAGAAACTGGCAAACAGCCAAAGTGTAACGTAATTACAGAAAATCCCACCTATTCAGCCAGATGCACAAAGTTTTTCTGTGTTACCTTCTAGAATCTTCAGAAATATCGTTTTTCCATTCTTAAAAATTCGTCCCATACAACGTGCAATTCAGCATTAAAGAAACGTACGTTTGTTTCATAAGGCTTCTTAACAATCATTTATTAAAGATTAAATAGTTTGATCTAGTTTACCTATTTATGAGTTAGTATCTCGCATTCTATTTTTCAAATGGAAGGGTTCGTTCTTTGGTGATTTAAGATAACTGAGTTTTTTTCCCCCCTTTTCACTGGTATCTCTCCTTAAACATTTTTTTTTTATATATATTCTGCCGCGTGTTTCGTTTGAAAATCATTTTACTTAAAATAGCATCTTAGTAGAGTGATCGTTGTTATAGGTGTTATTCTGAAACGTGTTTTGCCTCAAATACTTGTTTGTATGACGTGGTGACTTGTGGTCCGTTAACTATTTAACGTGACTATTTTAATTTAGCACAGAATTTGTGAAGGAGAAAACAACGCCTGGTATGAACAGTAGCTGTACCCTTATTTTGTCCATGCTGGTACATGTGACCTTTAAAAGAAATTTTCTTGTACAGGAAAGATAGCGAAAGAACTGTAAATGTCTAGAAATCGGTTGTTTTCATAATTATCGTGGGTCAAAAAATTGTATTTATGTATGTTTTCTTAAACGCGTCTTTAAAACTGAGCTAATCATTTGAATGTTGGTTTTATATCACATTTGATCTGTTTTTAGCAGGTACTATATATTCCTCACGTGTATGTTGAGTTGCTAGTTTTAAGTTTTTTTTTTTTACTTTTTGATCCTTGATTTATTGTTCATTTTCACTTACGTGTAAAAATTGTTCTGTTTGATTGTCAAATGCATAGTCGTGTATAGAATTGTGGTGTTGATATCAAGAAGTGAAAAATACCTTTGGATTGAGTGGATTTTTCTTCTTTTTTTATGTAAAAATAAAGACAAATTATTACCAATTCAAAAAAGTGATTTATTCGAGCGGAACCACGAACTTACAAACTTTTTTTTGTCACTCTTAAAACATATTATTTGACGAGTAATTTGCGGTTAATCTTGCAACTTAAATCATATAAGATACGCACAGAGTTAAATCAAGTGATTACAAAATCCAAAATATACAAAATCGAGACTTTAAAACAAAACTGTAAATCTTAAGATTCTAAGTAAGCCTCATTCCAAATAAACTTTCCGTGCGATAAATCTTTTGAAATTAGACTAAACCGCAGACATCTCGTATGTTTGTTGTTATCATTCCAAGGAGACTGTAATTGTTGAAAGTAAATACAAGCTTTTAAACGGCTTATAATATCTTGTCCCCCGGTGGATCAGCTGTAAGTTTACGCACTTACAACGCTAAAATCCGGGGTTCGATTCTCCGTGTCGGGCACATCAGATTGCGCTAAAACAAAGGAAAAAGTAGTAACAAAAATTACACCAACTCTACGCGATGTAAAACATATATATATATGCGACCAAACGATCTGACGAAGTACAAAAAAAACGAGACAATTGTAAACTGTTTATAGTTTTACGCATGATAATGTATGCATATATTTCTGTTACCCAATTGCACGGGATCAAATACGACCTCGGATGATCTACCACAGATAAGAAATAAACCTTCGCTATGATGTGAATTTACTGACGTCGTACCGTACAAATTACAACATATTTGAGAGCGATAATAAAATATAAATTAATATATAAGAGAGTAATGTAAAAGCTCTAACTAATCTAAACCTTAACGCCAACAGGAATACAAAATAATTTGTTCGAATCACCTTGATATTGAATTACGATGTATTGTGGGCGTTATCGACATTCAAGGTCACCCAAAAAAGACTTGAGGACTACCAATTAAGTTAAAAAACTACGTGATCACCAGAAGTGCCAACAAGATGATCATAACCTTAACTGGGGAAATATTTGTTATAGTGTTTTATATGATTTAATTGAGTGTATTTTAGAGCCTAACTAGTTTTAGTTAAGTAATAAATTTCCTGTGAGGAAATATTCAGGGAAAGGAGAAGGGTCAGAGGGGGTTTGACTGAGGTGTTTGAGGTTATTAGGGTATTGTTAATATAGATCCATCATACTTTTTTGTGTTTAGCAGTGAAAACAATAGGACAAGGGGTCATAAATTCAAATTTTGGCAGCGTAGGAGTCGTCTGCAATTTAGACAGTATTACTTTTCAAACAGGGTGGCTGGGTTTAGGAATGAGCCGCCTTCAAGGGTAATGGAGGCAGAAAATTTAACCGAGTTCAAGAAAAGATTGGATGGATACATGAGTAGTAAGGGGTGGTTATAGTTAGGAGCTGGAAGGGACATTCTTGATAGGTTAATAAGCTCCTTTTTGTCCCTTTAAAATTGTATGCAATTTATAATTGGTTGTTGTTAAGCGCAAAGTTGCATCAAGGGCTATCTGTGCTTTGTCCACCACTGGTATCGAAACCCGATTTCTAACGTTTTAAGCCTGCTGAGGCACAAGGGGAGGGGGGCGATAGTGTTAATGATTAAAAAGTTCTGTATTTATCGTAAAATGGGTAATAAATTAATTATAAATGACGCGTTGTAGAAAGAACCAGAAATCATTCCTAAAAATTGTACGTTCGAATCTAAATGATGATTTAATTAAAGAACGAACCAGAACAGTACAAGTTATACGTTTAAAAAAAAGTTGATGCCAGTTGTTGCATTTCGCGCAAAGATATTCGGGGGCTGTTCCTTATTTGAAATGAATGATTACAGGGAAGGAAACTAGTCAATTCTACCCACAGCTAGCTCGTGGACTTATTTAATCGAACAGTGGGATTTGACCATCACTATTATAACATACACACTTTATTTTTATTTTTGGGTCACTTGGCACTAATTTCGGATCTATAGTCTAGTGCGCTAACAACTCGGCCCCGTTAAAAAAACAAAACAGAAATCAGTCTAAAACTTGTACACCAAAACTAAATGATCCGTTAAGAAAGACGTGATTGTTTTTCTTCAATTTCGAGTTCTCCGGGGAGATAAAAATAACGGTGACATGTTCCTGAGTACGGTAGAATCCCGTTAGAGCGCGCCCCGATATAACGTGATCAATGTGTAACTCCCAATTTTCTATCGCTAAATTTGAGAGTTTTAAAATTAAGATGTTGAAGTGTAATTCAACGATTTTATGCTTTAAACGAATTGTCTTTGTCGCGTTTATTTTTGTGAGAAACCTTTCTAGTCACACAACCAAAACATGTTGCTTCCTAGAGGGCAGCCCATCGTATAAGAGTTGAACATAAAAGCGATTCTATTTGTGGGTACCCCGAAATAACGCGATCGTATTTCGTCGACCCCAACTATTGAATTATAACTGGGTTCTACTGTAATAATAAAAATTAAAATACTGAAATTAAACTTAACAGATTGATAAATGTATGGTGCTATAAACCTATGTTCGTGAATATAACCTGGACTAATATTATCTTCCATTTGTACATGTATTCTCTTTATTTGTAAAAAATATCAATCAGTACATAAACGGTCCCCAGACTTCTTGTCCAGTTAGCTGTCTGGTAAATTTTCCTAAATATTAAGCCCCATTTTAATCAATTTAAAATTGACAATCTCTCAACAACAACAACAAAAAATCTTCACCATCACATTTTAATTCGATTAGTTGCTGACGTAATGGAAACTATGGATTTACGTGTTTTACTAACGCAGAAATATTCAACAGACCTGAGCCCAGAACGATAAAAAGCGTTAAATTATATTACATATTAAGAATAACATTTAACATTGTGACCTTTATAAAGTTCTATTTAATTTTCTAACAAATTAGGGCACATTTATACCGCAATGATACCTTAAACCTTATCAACTTCTTTAGAAAAATTGAAGTTCGTAAAAGTTTTTGCTTTGAATAATATTCAAAACTTTTGACGTCTATGGTGTGCTAAGTTCGATATTTCTTGTTTTTGTCTTTAGTAATATTAATCTGATTTTCAATGGCAGAGAACGCCAATGTTTTTTTTTTTTTGTTTGTTCAGTACCTGTTGTAACAAAATTTTAGGAACAGTGTACATGAGATTAATATAAGTTCACGATAGGCCTCATAATCTACAGCAAAAGTATTATTAACATTTCTCACCCAGTATCTGATTGCTATTGAACTGGAATTAAGAAAATATTTTCCTAACAATTAGATTGGTTGCTTAGTTTCTTTCAGAGCAAAGCCGCTTTGGGCTATCTGCTGTGTCTCCCATGGAGAATCGAGCCCCTAATTTTAGCGTTGTAACCCCTCAAGCCCGGGGGACTTTCCTAACAAACTTAGAATTAGAAACCACCACCCCTCTAATAATTCAAGTGTTATCAGGATTTTATTTTCTAATTTGACATTGATACCAATTTATGCTAAAGTTGTCTATTTAACTTGTTTTGATGACATTTTCAGCTGAGACTGGCTGTGTAGAACTCGCAATTTCAATTACGTATTAGGTTACCACTTTCTTTCAACTGTGTTTATGTCTAGGAGAATCTTTTGTGCAAAAAACAAAAAATAATAATAACACGCCGCTTTGGTCTGTTATCAATTTTATGACTGGTGCGTTTCTGTAGTGTGAGAAAAGAGTGTATTAATTAAAGCTATGAATTATAGAAAAATAAAAAAAATCGTTGGAAAAATAAAATTAATGAATCTTTCTGTCTCCAGTCTGACTCTTTATGAAGTTCATAAAATTTAGTTAACAACTCTTTATCTTTTCATTTTATCTAAACAATTCAGATAATATTATTTGTTATAAATTCCCTTATTTTAGTTAAGTAGTTTTTCGCTCTTGTAGTTATCGATGTTGTTTTAATGCAGTTCAAACGTTCTGTTCGAGTTTCCTCAAACAAATTGAATACATAGTTAATAATTTCTGGATGGAACAGTTTTAATTCCGTTATTAACTTATGCAATATACAAAAATGACACGCACTACAAAACAGACGAGATAACATTGATAAAAAATCTGAAATAATCTTAATGTATTTTTTTAGCTAAGAGTTTTGTAGTTTTTTTTTTTAGAACAACGCCACGATGGGCTATCTGCTGGGCCCACCGAGAGGAATCGAACCTCGGGTTTTAGCGATCTAAGTCTGTAAACTTAGTATTGAAAATTGTAAGTCTTACAATAAAAGATAAAACTTTTATTCTGCTCAAGTCGTGTAAAAGATGGCGTTAATGGTACTTTTATTTTTAATGGGCATTTCACAATTAGGTTATATTCATTGGTGAAAAGTTTTATTTGTAAAATTTATTTTACGTCAGAATATACAAAAATGTACGAACAATCAATTCAAACAGTAATAATATGTACAAGTAAACAGAAATGAAGTTTTCTTTCCACAATATGATGACGTATACTCCAAAGGCCTAGATCTTCACCAGCGTATTTAATGTAAGTAACGCAGATAAAAAAAAATTTAAAGCCTATGATAAAACCCAAACAACAGAAAAATGTTGCTTTTATACCTATTTAAGAAATCAAACCATTACAATAATGATATTCTTTCGGTTGTTGTTCGTATTATAAATAATATAAATTTTGTTAACAAAGCTCACAGAAACATGAGAGTTTAGTTTTCAAGTGGATTCTAACGAATCTAAGATTTTGAAAGAAAAAATGGCTTGAAATTTAACTCCGTAAGCCTACTTTATGTCATGATATATTTAATTTGTTTTCCAACTTTTTTTAGCCATGATTATTTATTTATAAGTTGTCAGAAGGTAGCTGATTCCACTGAATACAACGTTTTTACCTGGTTTTTGTAATTTTATTAATGAAATTTATAAATCCAACACCTGAATAACTGAAACCCCCATCAACATCAAAACACAAAACAGTGCAAAAATGCATATTTCACAAGGAAAATATTTTTTGAAATATTGCAACAACATGTACGAAATAGTCGAAAGTTTACTAGTTATTATCTTGATTCGAACCCAAAGCTGGAGCATGAAAGCCTACTTTCGGTATTATCTTGATTCGAACCCAAAGCTGGAGCATGAAAGCCTACTCGTGATCGGTATTATCTTGATTCGAACCCAAAGCTGGAGCATGAAAGCTTACTTGTGATCGGTTATTATCTTGATTCGAACCCAAAGCTGGAGCATTAAAACCTATTTGGAAAGATATTATCTTGTTCCAACCTAAAGCTGGAGCATGAAAATTTACTTTTGATCGGTATTATCTTGATTCCAACCTAAAGCTGGAGCATGAAAGGCTTCTTTTGATCAGTATTATTTTGATTCGAACCCAAGGCTGGAGCACGAAAGCTTACTTGTGAACGGTTATTATCTTGATTCCAACCTAAAGCTGGAGCATGAAAGGCTTCTTTTGATCAGTATTATTTTGATTCCAACCTAAAGCTGGAGCACGAAAGCTTACTTGTGATCGGTATTATCTTGATTCCAACCTAAAGCTGGAGCATGAAAGCCTACTTGTGATCGGTATTATCTTGATTCCAACCTAAAGCTGGAGCATGAAAGCCTACTTGTTATTTTTAAACAGTTTGAATGTTATAGCTAACGACTTTAATTGCTTGCTTCACACTCAATTTCTTTTTATCATATGCACGCAGCGTAATTAAAACATGAAACAACAACAAAAATTTAATTAATGATGTATAGTTCTAACATTACATGACAAGGATATTAAGTCAGTTCACCACTGAACAGTCTTAATAAAGACATCTATATACACTTTTTTGTAATGACACTCAAAACAAACGTAAGTAATATTTTCATATTCAGTTCTCCTCTCCCTAAATACTATTACATAACATAGGGAATTTCGGCTTATAAAACACAGGTAAACATTATACTAAAATTACGTGTAAAGCAAAACCTATTTTATAAGAACTGTGGCTTAAAACCATATTGATGTAGAAATCACTTAATTAAAATGTTCTTTATCTTATAAACATAAAACCGGTAGTTTGTAGTTTAGTTAAACACAACGCTACAATGGGCTATTTGTGCTCTGCCCACCACGGGTATGGAAACACGGTTTCTGGCGTTGTAAGTCCACAGACCTACCGCTGTGCCACTGGGTGGGAGGGGGGGGGCATAAAACGTGAGTTTTTGGTTATATTTTATGATATTTCGATAAAAGAACAACAACAACAACAAAAAGAAATAATATCCATAATTTGACAAAGATACATTTGTATGAAAACTTTCCAAATATATTAATTAAAACACAGTAATGACTAAACTGTATGGATCATAAGATAAAATCCTCGATATTACTGAAAGATTAAATGATCCGTTCCAGTCATAGTTGTTGATAACAATATGATTTGTTTGGTTTAGATGTATAATCTTTTACTCACCACTAATAAACTAAAATACCGTTAGATGCTTTGACATACCGTCACAATTAATTATACGTTATTAGTCAGTAGACTAACTGGTTACTCATTTGTGTTTGAATTTCTATATATCAAAAAGAAACAGACCGCTTATATTTCACCGCTATATGAAGCCTACTTTGTTTATTTACTTCGCTCTTCCAAGTAGTACTAATGAGCTGTGAATTCAGCGAAACTAGTTTCAGAGTTAGTTGCAAATCAAAGAATAGATTAGACCTCTACGCCATCTTTTCTTCAATGAACGATACGTTTTGATGAGAATTTGTTAGATTTTTTTTAATATTAAGCACAAACTATACAATAGGCTATTTGTGCTGTGCCCACCACGAGTATCGAAACCCGGTTTTTAGCTGTATGAATTGTCAGGCTTGTCGCTGAGCCACTGGAGGTGGGGAGGAGCTTTGATGAGGAAAATAAATTCACAAATAAACATAAGAATGTTATTTCACGTTTTGCACCACGTGTACACGCGCAAGTGCACGCTTATAAATTTGAAACAATGATGGAAACGCTATACTACACTTTATATTCATGTTTAACTGTTGTAATTCGTTTAAACACGAACTACTTTTTAATTTGTTAATGAAATACGATATGGCAGATGTAGCTGAATATCTAAATATATTTTACTATATAATATAGAAAGTAAAGCGTTATGTTTTCGTCAAATAACTTTTACTTTAACTGAAATAAGAAATTCGATACTGTTTTGTTGTTGTTTTTTGACACCCACATACTTTGGGCTATCTTAAGCGAACAATGTTTGAAATAGATATGCTACAACTACCTAATCCGTTTCAATATGTTTTAAAAGTTGTTGTTTGTATTTAAGCACAAAGCTACACAATGGGCTATCTGTGCTCTGTCCACCGTGGATATCGAAATTTGGTTTCTAGCGTTGTAAGTGTTTTCGGCCATAAACCCAATAATATCTCATGAGGATCGGCCAGCTCAGGAGATTTAGATTACATTAAGCATTCTAACCAATACTGTTAACGAAAGCAATATCAAAGAAAGAATAGCGTATTCCTCACTTTGTTTAAGTTATCTGAAATCAGGTTATTTCTACCCACCAGTATAATGACAGATATGTCTTGATATACCATAATTAAAACTATGTAAAATACTATTTATGCTCTAACTAGGCTTAATAGAATTACAAGTTTATACAGACAATCATCTTGTTAAGCACAAAATTACGCAATGGGCTATCTGTGTTCTGCCCACCACGTGTAACGAAATCCAAATTTTAACGTTGTTAGCTGTGAGACTCACCGTCTGATTTTAAATTTCCCGAAACTTATAACTGAGTAAAAATAAAGGCTTCCTACAATGAGATAAAATAATATTATAATGTAACAATATGATAACCGATATAACGTGCCCAACAAATATAATTACTGTTCAGATCTCAGGGGCTGATCCAGCGGGTGGATAGGGTAGCCGGGCAATATTTTGGAATCTGCCAGTTCATAGGGTGTAAAACGTAATCCGGCAGAGTAGGCCCCAGATTCCATCAAGAAGCTACCTTCCATCCCCACCCCTTCAATAAAATTCTGGATCAGTCTCTGGAGGCCCGGCATGGCCAGGTGGTTAAGGCACTCGACTCGCAATCTGAGGGTCGCGGGTTCGAATCCCTGTCACACCAAATATGCTCGCCCTTTCAGCCGTGGGGGCGTTATAATGTGACGGTCAATCCCACTATTCGTTGGTAAAAGAGTAGCCCAAAAGTTGGCGGTGGGTGGTGATGACTAGCTGCATTCCCTCTAGTCTTACACTGCTAAATTAGGGACGGCTAGCGCAGATAGCCCTCGTGTAGCTTTGCGCGAAATTCAAAAACAAAACAAAAACAGTCTGTGGATTATGAGTGAAGGGATTTCCGTTTTTGTATGTTTAGTTTTATTGTGCAAGAAATATTACAGAAAATTACTTAATCGAAATACTGACAGCTGTTTTAATGACAAACAATTATTAACAGCATCTGTATGCGACGATATACCTTACCACTAGTCCTAGCTTGGTACTTCCAGTAGTGTTATAAAAAAAATCCTCAAATTATACTCAATGCAAAATTACACGTCCGTTAAAGTAATGGATACTTGTTACCTTACCGAGTACAGATATATGATGCTTTTAAAAATCACCAAATATCTTTCAAAACACGTTACTTCAAATTGCATAATTTCAAAGCCACAACAGACGTTTTACTTAGCTGAACATTTCACGAATGGTTATATATACTTAACACACATCGGTATACTTTGTAAAGAAGGACGCGTTTACTACGCTATAGCTAACTATATTTAACTTCTGATCAATACGAACTACCTATATAAGATCTCGCAGAAATTAATAATTAACTCAGTAATGAACGTAGCTATAATCTATGAACAATAGTAAAATGTTAAATTTGTTTAAGTTGCTTTAAACTCTATAAAAATATGTAATTAATGGAAAAGGTGAATAAAAGATGAAAATAAATCTAAACTGTGCAGTTTAAATTTATATATATATATATATGTATAAGCACACAACACGCAGAGTGTAGTAAAAGTTACTATATAGTTGGTATACCAAAGCAACTTTTAAGAAGACAATTGACACAAAGTTAAATAATTTCAAAGTAATAATTGGAAGTTAAAGCATGATCTAAATGAAACAACTCTACAGTTACTTTTACCCCACCCTGTACATGTGGCAAACACGATGAATATTGGTTAGAAAAACTACGGATAATTACATTCTTCTTTAACCTTTATGAACACCTAAACTTGTCAAAACAAAAAACACACACACAACACTGTAAAACAAAACAATAAAAAAACAAACCCAACAGGAATATTATTTAGGTTTAATAACAAAGAAATTGACGACTCGTATTAGGAAGCTCGTGGAAAGAAATGTGTAATACTCGTCGTAACGATCTAAAATTTGTTTAGTAAAACAAATTGAGAGTTGGTATAACTTCACAGTTAGCTTTCCAAATACTGCTATCACTTATTCAAATCTAACGTACTGTTATCAGCTTTTAATCGAAGCAAAAATTCGTACTGATAACAATGTCATTTTTTTTTTTTTGGCTTCAGTAATTCAAAAACAAACTGGTAAAATTTTATAAGTCATAAGTTTATAGCTGAGGATTATAATTGATTGAACATTTCCCTAGTTACAGAAAGTCCTTTGTCTGCGAGTCTCTTGTCAAAAGTTGGTGCTTTTTACGCGGATATGTACAAAAAAAAGTTAGAATTAAATGTTTCATTTATTTCCACTAGTGTGCTGCCACCTGTCGCAGTTGCCAAAATTGCAGTCTGTTTAACCCTCTGAGCATAGCCTTAGGTGGAATTGTCATCAATTTTAAACAAAATGCAGAATCTTACAATTTCTAAATTATAACAAACAGATCAAATTTTTCCCTTCAAGTATTTCATCCTGTACTTTGTCCGAAGAAGTGGAGATTTCTGCTTGAATTGACAGTACAGAACATACGAACGTTATGATTGTGCTCCCGATAGCCAAGTAAAAAGCCCATCCTAATATAAAAAAAAAACATTGGAAGAGAAAAATAAATGATTATACAACACTTTAGTACATTTCAGAAATCACTGGAATTATCAAACGTGAAACTTTATAAGCACTTATTAAAGTTTGTATTTTCACTTTTCGGTATGAGACATCGCCTTTAAATTTACTTCAGAAGTAATCTGAATCAACCGACTGTAGTATTGTGAAGAAGAGCTATACTATAACAACCTTTAGGCCAAAGATAATAGTCTGTTCCAATAAATGTAAATATGCCCTATGAATTGAACCCCCTGGAAATATATTAAATTGGTATGGACGTTTACTACTAAAAACCATGATTTGTTTGTTTATTTTTGTTTGTAGTGCAAAAGTGCACAGTGGACCACGTGCTCTGCGAACGCGGTATGGATCGAACACCGAATTATTGCGTTATAATGCCTCGAGCTTACTGCTGAGCCGTCGAGTTGTTATTTTTTTAAAACATGTCAATGACAAGGAATGTTTCCAGTAGGAAAATATTTTTGTTTCTTTGCCCAAAATGCCCCAAAATTTGTTTCACATGCTAATTTCATATCTTCGTTATTACAAGGGGAGTAAACACATAAAAATGTACACAAATTCTGGCAATCAATTTTTAAAATATGACAGAATCAGTGTCTTAGTGATTACTAGTATTATAAAGATACTAAAGACCGCTTCGCTCGGGCTGTTTGCGTAATTTTAATCACAGTTACATCTTCGATACTAATACATCCTTCAATATTAAATAGTATCTACAACTTACCCAACATGCAGTCTCCCAAAAGAAAAGGTTGCGCATTTTCTCCACAAACGAGCTGCACGCGGGTACTCCCCCAACCGGCTGGATACAGAACTAATCCCAAGATGAACAACAAACCTGCGCCAAGAGCATTTAACAATCACAAGAAACGAAACTGAATAGTTCCATATTTTATTTCACTCACACACTCTCTCTCCCTCTCTCTCTGTGTGTATAACATATATATCTGACGGTGTCTAGTACTTTTATTATTTGACTTTGACGAAATATCTCACAAACAATGTGTTTATTTTATATGTTTACTAGCTAGAGTACCTGTCCGTTGGGCGGGTGAAATAAAAACTCGTTTGTAACAAAGGATAGAAAATTGTGCTTCTATTTTTTTCCTTAATATAATAAACATTATAAGTGCAAAAAAAACAAACATAAAGGTACTAATACTGAAGAGAAAGACATACTGTTTTCAAGAATTCTAACAATAGTGGTTACATAGTTCATTCTAATGCTGAGGGATATCCAACATTGGTAGTTTTTCCGAAATTACATATGAAATTAGATGGGGGGGGTCTAATCCCCCATGCCCTTCTTCATGTCATCCTGTATCACTGTGTCAAGTTTAGTGCTGATTGATAAAGAAATGTGAAAAAGTATAAGGAACAGATACACACACACACACACACACTTATTGACGTATATTTATAGGGCTATCTGTTGAGTCCACCGCAGGGAATCGAACCCTGGATGTTAGCGTTGTAAGTTCTTAGACGTACCGCCGTCCCACCGGGGGGGACAAACCATGTGAAATGTTTATATATGAACACACATCATGCATTTTTAGCGGTCATTTATCTAGATGAAATAAAGGATAATAAAAATTCTTACATGCTCTTATACCTTACTTTTTTTTAATGGGCATTTACTGCCGTTACAGTAGGGATTTTGTTTTCTCACTACATTATTACAACGAACTAAGATAAACTAAAGTAATTGATCGATCTGTCCTTATAATTAAAACTGATACTCAGAAGAGTTTTTAGCGTATTAGACTGGGGAGTTTGGGTTTGAAACGTTGTCCTACTAAATACTCTTCACACTTCAAGCTGTGCAACGTTTAAGAAGACGGTCAATAATAATAGTGAATTAAGAACCGTTCAAGAGGCGTGTGTACTGATCATGTTTCAACTGTAGGGGGCTTCTCTGACGTAGTCGATAAGCCTATTTTGCGCATAAGGTATCTTTTGTTGAACAAACAAACTCCTTTAAAAAATTTTTATTCGTTATCTGTACATATCTATATATATATATATATATGGCAATTACCGAGCAAATTGTTAGGCCACAGTTCTTATACAGAGCTGGTTTTGTTTTTTATATTGACTGAGGAATTCCTTGTGTGTATTGGATCACGTAAGCTTGTATCGCGCGCATGTCAAATGCCAAAACAAACTTGTTAATTTTCAAGCATTATATATATATATCAAATATTCTCGTCTTCTTTCTTTGGCGTGAATAACATAATAATTACTCATTTTCAGTAAAGTCTGAACCTTGACTTTTTTATTACAAAAAATTTGTATTTATTTCCTGATGTAGGAAGATTGTGATTTCTCATATTTTGAATTCAGATGTAGCCTATATGGCAACTGCAAGTGCTAAACTGTCAGATCAACAATGTAGCCTATATGACAACTACCATGCAAGTGTTAAACTGTCAGATCAACAATGTAGCCTATATGGCAACTGCAAGTGCTAAACTGTCAGATCAACAATGTAGCCTATATGGCAACTGCAAGTGCTAAACTGTCAGATCAACAAT